GAAAAATGTTATACATTATTCACTGTAAACTCGATATTTTTTAAAGTTCAACATTTATGCTAGTGAGTGACGTACGACATTTTCTAAAGTTCAGTGTACAAAACTCAATATTTTAAACTTTAGAGAGTAATCAAAGATATGGATCTAAATTCAGTGATCAAAACTTGACATTTTAAATTTCAGTGACCAATCGAAAACATGGCCTAAGTTCAGTGACCATTGGAACAATTAATTCTCTTTTCTTCCTAATTTCATTTCTTCCTTTCTTCTCAAAGTCAACCATTCTTCCGACCGTGTTTCTGTCTTCTTCAAGTCATCTTTCTGTTTCTTCCGGCCATTCCAACTGTGTTTTCTTCCAGTTGTATGTTTTAATTTTGTCTCCGACATGCCGCAGAGCCTCCAACACTCATCGGCGACGTGTCGGAGATGTACTGATGTCCAACATGTATTGGACACCGATAAGTCAATGGCGGCAGCGTTTCGATACTTCTCAGGTTTTTCTAAAAGAATGTTTGACCCAAAAGATGTAATTGATGTGGTACAACAAGGATGTCTTCCGTGTTAGACATTCCATAAGAAAACCTTATAGATTTTAACGTTCGGACTAAGCCTCCGTTTGACAAATTTATAAATGATTTATACAGAGGAATAATAGTGAGTCTCACGAAATGTGATTGAAATTAGTGTTTAGCTTTGATTGGACTTAAAAACTATATATAAATTTGTATTCATACAGAGGATAAAACATAAAGTAAATTTCGGTGACCACTTCTGAACATCATTCAGTCACTACATGAAACTTTGCTGCAAGTTGAGGTGGCTAACTGTGTTTTTAACCCTTCACGATTTAGTCACATGCACCAACCAACCACCACAGGCAAGAAGGGAGGGAAATTAATTTGATCACGACTATCATTCGGTCACACGAGGAAGAGAAGTAGAGAAAATAAAGAATACCTGTCCACTGCGTTCCAGGGTGTGCCAAATAGAATGTTTAATAAGGTGTATTCCCTTCTGGTGAGTTAAGCGGGTGATAATTCCTACCAAAGGCAAATCAGCCTTTTTCAACCCAAGTCTTTGCTGCAAAGCTTCCTTCGCGGCTCTTTTGCCTTCAACAACATTTTCTGAAGTGTAAGACAACTGTAATGATGAAACATATTTGAGTTAGATAAGGAAAATTAAATTCAGCAATTCAATCCTCAAACCCTAAGATTTAAAAAGAAATGAGAAAAGAAACTGTGGAGTGCACATATACGTTAAAGCAATGCTAGAATAAACGTAGTGCACGTTTGACACGCAATATTGGGTAGGCTAGAAAGTATAATAAACAATATTTTAGCTAAGTACTATCTAATCCTCTCTATCAAACATGACATTAAAATATTATGGTCAACAACCCATTCAATCTAAGGGAATAGAAACTGAAACACCATTCTCCCCACTTTAGACATCCAAACATCATACACAATTTTAGCAAGAAACTAAATTTTTTGAAAGTGATGCCACTCTCCCATGGGCAAAAATGGAAAGATGAATACAGATATAATTTGCAAGAGACTGCAATTTACTTACAGGAATGAACTTATCATTGTATGGGTCCCATATATCTTGGTCAATTCCATTTAGAATACCATGAAATTTGTAAAGGTGAGAAGCAATAACAGGATTTCCAGAAACCTCCTGTGAATAAGTGGGGGATACCTGCAGGCACAATATGCAGTTTTAGATACAGGAAATCAAATCTCTGCTTCAACATCATAAGAAATGCTGAGTCACCTAACAGAGAAATCTAGCTCAACTAATGCAACTAATAAACAAGGTCAAAATTATAGCAGTTTAGTGGGAAGACCTTTAAAAACTTACAGTTGTAGCCTTATCCGAGTACTGCATAGCTTTCCCAATCAAGCTTGCTCCAAATTCAAGGTTATGTATAGTGAAGACAACTCGAGCTTTATTGAGGCCATAATGTCTATAATGCTCCTTATACAGCCATGCAACTGGAGCACTAGACCAATCATGGCAATGAATTATATCCTGGTACGAGAAAAAGCAACAGTAGCTTGAAAATTTTTCAAGTATTATAAAAACAATTGGTAAACAGACATCTTGTAAGTTACAAATCTGCAAGATTTGCATTTATTTATTTTAGGGTGGAGTAGGAAAAAGGGTATGATAACATTAGCTTGAAAAAGTATTTCCCACAAAATTAGCTAGATGCTATAGACATATCTATATTAAGCAGAAAGATACAGCCTAACAGAAACAGAGAAGAAAATTTGAAAACAGTCAAACTCAAATAATCGACACTTTTCTTGTTGGGATACTAGCTCTACCCAGAATGCCACTAGAAAAACATTATTATCAAGAATTCAGATCTCTAATGTTGCAATGGAAATGAATCAAATAGATTGAAAATATCCAACTTTATCCTTGATGTGGCTTGGAGCTTACTGGATGGAATCCACTTTGCAGAAGAAACTCGAGAGATGCATGGCAAAAGAAACCAAATCTTTCCCCATCATTTCTTCGACCATATATGCAACCTGCCGAAAAGAATCTGGAATAGGCAAATACACAGCATAACTCGAGAGCACGAGAACAATAAACAAGTTCGTTCAGTACCATACACTAGTAACGCTAAATATTTTGCAGATTAAAAATCTTATTCAGCTTAAGAACAGTTCTAAGCAAGAGTTTAAGAATTAAGTATAATACACCAAGATCTGTTAAAATAATTAGATCTTCAAATAAAATGGATACAACTAACTATATGTGCAATTGCAGTAAGAATCGCCTAGTCAACTCAATAATCAGCAGCATAACCACAGTAAACAAATCACCATCTCCCAGCACTAAAGAAAAATTAAACGTGTGTTTAGCAAATATAACTTAAGCTAGTTAAAATACTCTTTATCCACATTTCATACGACCCACAACTTACTTCTCATTTAGGAAAAATCGCAATGGAGGTCCCAAACCTTTCATTTTGTTGTAGAATATATCTTAACCTTTCATTTTGGCAGCCACAATCCCAAAACTTTTACTTCCATTGCGGCTGGAGTCCATTTGACAGATTCCATCCACTTATCCGTTAGTCAATCCTTAAATTAAATGTTTGACTCAAATTAACAAATTAAATGAGGGGTAAAATGGTCCGTTTACATTATCTATGGTAAAAAGTTAAAAAAAATTAAATATAAACCCTTCTCATTGAGTCCTATAAATTCCCCTTCTTTTCTATCTCTAAAAACATTAAGAAAATCCCAAATTGTTGTCTGTTTCACCAAACGTCAAAAACCAAATTGGGTCTCTTTAAAATTTAAAACTCCATTCTGAGAAATTCAAGAAGATGCACACTCAAATAATCATGACAGAATATAGTAATTAGTCAAAATTCTCCCAATCTGTGCACTCCAAGAAAACAAGATTGAGTTGGTATTGAACCGTGGCCACTCCAATAGAAAGATTTATTTATTTATTTGTTATTATAATTATTTTTTTTAAAGAATAACCCAACACATATTTTCGTTCGAGCAATCTGAATCAAAGTTCAAACGACTAGAATTCAAATAATTCCCATTTCAGGATCCCTATCAAATTTCCTATCCACCTCAAAATTCCAACAAATTAAGAGAACCCATTTTCACGTTCTATCATAAAACTGGCCGCGTGTATACATTCGTAAATCATATTGAATACAACCTTCAATGCCCGAATAGAAGACCTCAAAACCAAACCAAATAGAGTACTTATTTACAAATGTGAGTTCATATACATTAAAGATCACTTGGGATTCTTTGCTGCTGCTACTCACTTTTCGTTCGGGGCTAGACCTTGAGACCTCAATTTCTTCCCCCATTTGATGCTTGATACATTTTTTTTTGAAACAGACAACAATTTGGGATTTCTTAATTGGGTTTTAGAGATAGAAAAGAAGGGGAATTTACTGGAC